TCTTCGCAATCAGTCGGGGCGGTGTCAAAATGCATAGCACGGCACTTTCTAACACTGGTTGTTCCCTCCACGGAACCGACCACCGACCGATCGAAGAAAAGATAGAAAAGAGAGCCGGAGGCGTGTTCATTCTGCGTCTCCTAACACCACTCCGACCATATCAACGTACTCAGTATTCCCTGGCCAGACTACTTGACGAGTTGCAGTATTACCACATTGGGTGAGTTGGGTCATGGGGCGGACGTAACCTTCCTGGAGCCTCTTTTGCCTCTTTCGTTGTGACTCGCAAATGCAGGAGTACGACCCTGTGTCCCAATGGCGTCGATGTCAACTTGCTGATGAGCCTCCGGGTTTTCGAATAAAAGGAATCGTCTGCCGAACAGACTTAACGACTCGGCTCTTTTCAGAGGGTTTTCTTCTTTAAGTTTTCTATTGCCTTTTTTTGAAGAAGTAACTGCTACTGTCGAAGCCAGAAGTGATGTTTTGATGAGCCCCCACATTCACGTTACAGCAAAGTAGGAACCTTAAGGCACGAGTTTCACGAAAGTTTAGGCAATTCTTCAGATGTCGTGTAGTTTTGCCTGATTTGATTAGTCCTTATAAGATTCTAATTCATAAGTGGAGCAAGTCAGTTTTTGTATTCGTGGGTCCGCGAAGGTGTGACGTGTGACTGTCTGATTTTTTCCTGCTTTAATCGATGAAATATTTTCAGTGTGATGTCCGTGACCGCAGAATCTGCAGAAGCTGCACGACCACCTTTGGTTACACAGAAAAGTGATGCCGAAAAACGTAAAAATTCGATCAAGCGAAAGGTAAAATTCATTTGAGCTTTTTCTCAACGGTATTGTAATTGGAGGGGCACGGACTGCAATTCTGGATTACGCTCATTTCTGACAATCTGTCTCAACCTTAAAATCCGAAAAAAAAGTCCAGAATCAGGTTTAGAACACCTGACTGAGCACCATTTAGGTGAGAGGTCCAAGACAAGATGAGAATGAAGCTGGCGTAATCTTCCTGCCCCCTTTTATGGACTTCAGCACTAATTACTTTATTTGCAACACTATCTACAATATTGTTTCTTGCTGATATTCTTTACTGGTGGAGAAACTTGAGCATGACGCAGTTAGGCAGTCGGTTTAAAATGGACTACCAACACCAACTGGACGGATCATTCCCCTGCCCACCGCGCTCCGTTCTCCCATTTACGACTGTGCTGCGTCAGGTAACTGATTTCTGAATGGCCAATATGACAAGGCATATGAATATGAAAGGCTCTTCCGGGTCCACAGATTTCTCTAGAGCTTATCTCATCGCATGACCCCACGATTAGAGTAGAAATCAAATGCATCGCGCGCTCTAATTTGGCACCGTCCCCCCCAATCAGTGGATGCCTAAAAATCATACATAACTTTTCCTGTTCTTCTGTTTCTTTTTTCACTCCAGATTCTATAAATGATCGTTCGCAAATCCTTTAAAAAATGTATAAGTGCAGTCGGGCAACTGGCGTATGTTAGCATGCTTTTCCCTTCCATCCAGGATTCTGTTTGAACAAAAATTCAAAGAAACTGAAACTTCTCGGGCTACACATCACTTCAGGTGCTTTGTGAGCTGACGACTGGGTGGTTGGCAAAGGCACTCCATTTTTATGGGCGCATTTTCGAGAAATGACTTCAATCATTATGATGGAGTCATTTTCTTCCATCTTCTGGTGTTCAGTCTGTCTGATAACCCTTTTTCGCCGGAAGAAATTGCTTTGACGTAGCGATAGGTGACTAAGCACCTGATACGATAAAGAAAACCAGTCTCTGAGGCGATTACGGTTGTCAGACAAGTGTTATTGTCGACTTTAGGCCCAAAGTAGTTTCTACCATTCCAATTAAAGAAGAAAGCTGGCTCCGGTCATTATTTTTCGAAATGGCCCATATCTGGCACTTTAATCAGGAGTGCTCCCTAATCTGGGAATTTTCTCGAAACACCGTAGGCATCATTGATTAACGGCCACTGAACTGAATTCAAGCTAGGAAACGGATATTTCAATGCGTGCGCGCATTCTCACAAGGAAAAGTAATAGGCTATTGCAATAATTAATCAACTAGAACCGCCGAAAATACAATATAATCAATACATAATTCACTGAGATTATTTTCGCGTCTCTTAATGGCGCAATCCTATTGTATGCACGTGAACAGTACGGTCTTAATCAGTGAAAGAATACAACTGGCCCCCCCATATGATCAGCGTGGAATTCGCCTCTATATGCGTCAACTGTTTCTTATCCTCAAAATCCGGAAATAGCTTTTCTTTTCTGAACACTGCCTCATATATCTTTTACAAGTAAGTAAAGAGTATTAAACAATGAATAAACAAATAATCCCTTTTACAGATTGTCGTCGGTCCTGCAATCACGCCACGTTACGAATACACCATGAATAAGCAACGAACGAAATCCTGTAGTGTGAACCAAAGGATAAGCCACACAATGGAGCTTCCATAGCACATGACGTGAAGCCGAAGGGATTTCTATCAGCATTCTGACAATTATCTGTGTACTGAACGATATCGCAATTGATTGATACGGTACTTTATTGACTTATCCAGTTGTGTACATAGCGTTGTTGTGGTGCTGATCTCTCTGAAAAAGGAAAACAGTGATTGTTCATGTTGCTCAAGCATGACCTCATTTACTCAGTTCAATAAAAGTTAACAAATAGTAGACAATAGACTGGTAAGCAGAAACGCAGACTACAATCGAACACTATTGGAATGCGCCATGCATGCCGACTCTGACTCAGCTGTAGTGAAAGACCAATATTTTAAAAGTACTCTCATAGGTGCGATTCCGGGGTGGAGGAGCCTAGCGGGGCGGGCATTTTCGCCCCATTCCCTATTGTCCATTCGTCAGTAATTCATTGCGTTTTACAGGAGTTGAGAGGTATTTTTCTACGGAAGGTTTTTTGGTGGTTTTAAGAACTGTGAACTGTGTATTTACAGGCGTGGCTTCCTCACAAGGCTAAGATTAGTCAAATACCTCACCACCATGACCAAAATGCGCCTAATCGTGCTATCTTTCGCAAGGAAATGCGCCAGGCAATGTTACAACATAAAACATTCAATCCATGCATTTATTTGTGAAAAAGCACAACTTTCTTAAAGCTCGCACGCGGCCTATGGCGTAACGCAGTAACACAACAAACTAGATTACCCGAGAAAATAGTGCGATTGAGATCTCAGTCTCGCACGAGTATAAAGTCAGTCAATGCAGATGATAGCTTCTATTCAAGAGAAAGCCACTAGTTTCACCGTTTAACATACTGTATGTACTGTCTTCATAGGAACAGTGATTGCCCACGAGAACCGGTCATCATAGGTGATTAGTAGTTAAACTTCTCTCACATTTTCAACACCAACATCGTATGAGGTGTACAGCAAGAGTATGCTTCCTTCTGAGCTTCACTTGCACTGATGAGTGTTAAGTTTTCAATATATTTCGAGAGATAATTTCATCGTCTTCGTTATTATTAACGACATACTCGGCCCCTGAAGGACGCGCAACCCAAGCTTCTTGACCGATAACTAAGATAGTAGAGCATGTACCCACTGAGCAGAGAGCCGACATAAAACCCTCTTCAAGTTGATCCATTACATCCCTTGTAGCGTAGACACCTAATTAGCGGTGAACTGAAAAACGCTACTGGCACGCTGTATGTCAGCTACTGGTATTAGATTTGTCTTTGGTTTGATTGATCAGAATACCTTTTCATTACAAATAATCACCAAGGTTCCCGATTTGCGGACGCGTAAACTACTTGGCGCATTCGAGGAAAGGTCATTCAAGCTCATTGAGGTTGTGATTTATATAGGCCTAGTTGAAACTATGGGCGCTTTTGTTGAATAGCCATTCTGACGCACTGTCCTGCTTCCACCAATACTCTGGCCGTACAAGCCCTAGACGTGAAATTCCGGTAGTCGCTTAAGGCGGATCTCTGCCTAGTAATCAGCCATTATTAGCTTTTGAATGAATAATTGAACTCGGTTTTCTTCGAGGATTGTTGGAAATTCCTCTGGTAGTCTTCTCTGCAGATCAGAAATTTTGATCTGCTAATCGAACCCGTCCGGTCTGGAGGGCGACCACCCTCTGCCAAGTTATCATTTTGGGTAGCTTCGTTTTCTCGTACATTTCTCCTCTTACTTTACTTGCTCCAAAAAAAACTATTGTGCCATACTTAAGTAATAGTTGCCTGTGATTCCCCTTTCGTTTTCCAGCTGGTTTAGGAAGCACCTATTTGAAATGCTCGAAATTATCAATGCGTGACACAGCAGTATGGATAGTGTTATTGACACGGCTCAAATCTTGTGTTTTTCGTTTCTTTACCCTTTTTCGCCGCTGTTCGACTTAGGAGGGGCATTTGCACTTTCGCTAGTTTCTTTTGCTAGTTTCTGCTAAATCAAAATTCTTCTCTGGCAAAACCTGAAAACTCTTTTCAAGTGGAGACGTCGTCGGATTTGGGGATCCCTAGAGGGGGATTCGTGTTTGGTTGGGAGGGGGTGGCACAACTGTTTTCGGGGGGTTTCTGATAGTTGACTTCTCCCGGTCTTTTCCGTTTCTCCTCTGCTATTCATTTCACCCCCTCCCTTGCCCTCCTTCCCTCTCATTAGCAGGTTTTCAGGAAAAAAAAGAACTTTCGAAAAGAAGGCCAGGAAACGAATTGGCGGATCGTGCCAAAGGAGGAACTTTTGAGCGGGATAGGGGGTGTTTTCCGCAGATTTTCCCCTCAACGGCAGAACATGCATAGTTTTATAGGGGCTATACAGGTTTCCACAGGAGACAACAGCAGTGATCAATGGAAACCAGCAAAATGCCCCCACCAAGCCAAACTGCTCTCTTTTCCCCACTTTTTTATGATTTTTTTTCTTACTTCCGGCCACCTGCACTCTCCTACCGCCCGCTAGCCCCACTTACAGTCCGTTCTGAATTTGTTGCAAGAAGCAGGTTTGCAACTATGAGACTTCTTATTTCCAGAGTTCATTGGACAGCGCTTGCGATTGTGTTGGCGCAAATTCGGATAGGAAGTGAGGTAAGCTCTGCCACATAATGGAACTATCGTGGTGTTCGAACTGCTGCAACCGGAGGAGATTTCAGGCCTCAGAGCTAGAAGACGCTGACAGGAAAGCATTGTTAACATATGGCTTCGTACCGAACTCGATTGAAGGCAGCGGATTTCTTGAGGAAGAATCTGAGACCGAAGGTAGGATGCTCCATTAAACCATACAATTCCCTGACATTTCATCGGATTTTCTCTTGCTGATGGCAGGCATTTTTTTAGCGATCTTAATAAAGTGGTGACTGGGGTTATGGATTACATTGCTGGAAAAACTGTTGCACTAATAACCTTAGAGCGGCAGTCAAAGGAATTCTTGTACAAAACTAGAATTCACCTGTACGTTCTCGTTGATCGTCGAGTTGCACTGAACAGGGCTAGTCTTTGACAGACGTGCGACCCCGCCCACTCCGCAGAAGGCCCGCCCACGCCTGAAAAACTTCCCAATCGGCAGACTAGAGCATTAATATACAGGTGAGAGTCCGAATGCCGCCCAGGCGACATCGCCTGTGTTGTGAAAGGATGACTTTAAATCCATATTCATAGGGGCCCAGTGATTTTCTATATTTCAGCTGAAAATGATGATTTTGACTGCAAAAGCTCAACGATGACGGTTGAACAAAGAAAGCATATTCCGCTACACGCACACAGGCCTTATGAAGCAAAGATTGCGTTAGGACCAACCGAACAAGCACGGGAAGATGGGAACCGGGCGAAATATTTACTTCTTGGTGAGTCAATTTACTGCGTTCTGCTACTTACTGTAATGATTAACAATTACAGGCAAATTTCCTTTTCAGAGATGGGACTGCAAACTGGAGTTATTGGCTCACCAACGGAATCAAATGTGCTCTGATCACATCATGTCCAATACAAGTAATCTGGCTGGATCACTTCTTGCCATGCAGTGAGTCGTTAGAACGCTTGAAGATTTGCACGCATGACCGACTTCTAACAAATCATGGCATTCGCGGGAGGTCTTTGACACACTTTTGGGCTTCGTAGCCTCCGGAGAGCCGCCCGGAAATCTAAAGATGAGGATGGCCTACCACCATTACCCCTATCAGTCTGTTCAAGACAGTACCGCACCCTAGGCAATAGTAGTGGTCCTTCCTTGTTCAAGTAGTTTGTCCTCAATCTCTTAGATTATCGCGCTTTCACAGCTTCGCAAAAGGTAACCAAGGCGCTGCTGCCCTCATAAGTGGCCAGTCTAGCTGTCCCGGCCACCAGAACGCAAGGGCTATTTTCAGTCACAAGTTCAGTTTTTACATTTTTTTTCTTTCCATAACTATTGTGCTTTCTTTCTTCCCTGGAGTGTTCGCGGTGACTATGGGTTCCTCATTAAACGACAACCGCATAAAATGCAATTGCAGGTTTTGTCTTATAGTTAGGGCTATCCTTTTGAAAACTGTTCAGAGTGCATGAACTTCCTATGTTACAGTAATGGATAGGGGACTTCACTGGGTTAGAGGAATGTCACATTTTTGGCCGTCAATCGTTGCGTATGAGCAGCGGCGCGACCCCCGTTAGGATGCTTGCTCTAACCGCGCCGCAATGTGCTGTTTCCTCAGTGGCAGGACAAAATCCTGCTGTTTTTTTTTTTCTTGGGGCAAATTTTTGCTAAAACGACTGCACAGACAAAGTGCGTCCTCTGGGTACGAACGTCTAGATCCCATCCCACCTACCATGGACAGAAATACAGCATGTTGAGCCATCTAGAATATGCCAGAAGACGCTCCTCACACTCGAAACTAAATGCTCCTTTTCTAAGCACAACCGCCCCCCCCCCTCCTTCCTTATCCTTCGCCATCCTATCTGCGATCCGCCCCGATTTCCCCACTTTCCTACCGCTTTCAACCACTTTGCCGAAGTTTTTTCCGAAAGCTCCCCAGCCTTCTCCCTCGAAAGCTGCCGTCGAGCGAGAATAGGGGAGGAAGAAACACGGAAAATCGAGAAAAGTCAACAGCCGAAACTATTTCTCTCAAAGGCAAATACGACTTCTCTTCAGCTAGTGACCGAGCACGCCCCCTCGCTGGGAGCGAAGAAGGTGTCAGTGGCCAGTGGCTCCCTCATCCGAATATGGGAGAAGCGGGTCGTATGTCTCATGCTTGAATGGACTAGCTCTTCAGACCATAGTCCATTTCGAAGGTCTGATCTTCCTACGAAGTTAGAGAGCATAAAGGTGAAGCTAAAAGACACTCTCTCGGGACCGAGGAAGAGGCTTCCAGAGCTCTCGTCCCTCCTTATAATACGTCAGATTTGATCGATGACGTTTAGCACTATCGAATTTCGATTACTGCGACAGTACCTACTCAGAACTACGACTGAGTTGCTTGTTTCCAGCCCTCTCCACGAAAACTGGTGATCTCATTCTCTGTAGACCGATAGCCGAATTCTGAAGAATTCTTACCTTTGCGACTACATCCACTCACTGGTGCGGCGCAGAAGGGTGGGAACCCCTTCTGGTGCGGTTAGGAAGGGGTTCGCACCCTTCTGCGTAAAAACCGATGATTCCAGTCAATATTGATCGGTGGCTAAGGACGAAATGTTTATGTGGAACTGATGTGCGTGTCAAACATGTTCTTGAGTTCACATTGAGAAACGTGGAGTACGGCTTTAAAGTATTGTACTGAGCTCTATTTCTGGTGAAATGAGTTTTGTAAAGGTGATTCAGCTGTGGTCGGCTTGGAGGGGTTTTGCACTTTTGCTGCTTCCTCTTCATGTTCACAGATAGTTCCCTCCGTTGGTCAGACCTGTGAACTCCTGTGTAGTTGCAAAATTGTTCCAGTGAGCTACTTTGGGCACAGAAATTAGCAGTGTTTTCACAAAGTCAGGTTCAGCTGAGTACCTTCCGGTGCCCCTACCAAACCTAACTGTGCCAGTAGTTCTTGTAGCGCTTGAATCGTAGGTCACCAGAAGCTCAAATAATGCTGTAGGAGGGCAGTGCAACATAGGTGTAAGCTTTTTTGAGATTTTGAAGGCATGGCTAGTATAGGTTCCAATCACTCAATCACATTTCACAATTACAGCTTTGACACTCTCGATTTCACGGGAACAATGTTACCCATCATATAGAACATTCAATGAGATCTTGGTGGCTTCAATACAAGACACACGGAAATGTTGACGTGAAGAACAGATACTCAGCGAGACAGCTCTATTTCGGTTGGCACGAACGGTAAGTGCTAGTTTGATAAAAAATTACTCGTACTTCTTTAGTCAGCTTACGAGTTGGATGGTTACAGGCGCCTTAGTCAACCAGAACTTGCCTCGTCAAGGGTATTCTTTTGTCGCATTTACTAGCTCAGTAGTAGAAGGGAGCAGGAGAAGAAATAGGGAACAGAGAAGAAAGGAAGGAAAAGATAGAAGGAGGAAGAAAAAGGAAAGAGAAGGGAGGCTCCGCCGCTGACATGTGCCCTGAGACGGAGGGCCATGTGCAAAGTGGATGGGTGCACAGGTGTAGGAGTGCACTTATTTCGTCGCTGAAACGGAAGCGAAATTAGGGCTGGAGTGTAGTGAAAAGTGGATGTCGTTCCTCACTTGCCGTCCACAACGAGAGCATGTGCGTCGATGCCAAGGTCCTGCAGCTAACAACATGGATGGCATGTTGTTTTCATGGCCAAGCGTAGATAGAACAGCCCTTTCTCCAACTAAACCGAAGATGTGCAGGCAAGTAGAGCGACTGGCTTGGCTAGGGGGGTAAATGGTTGAGCGGCGTGTAAGCAGCAGCTAGTGTGCGGGAATGAGGCAGAAATGGTCGTCAGTCTATTTTCTGCGCCAGGGTACACCATCGAGATGTGTGAAATGGTGGTATCGATATGACCCCCCCACACCCCCAACACCTACCTACCAATTTCCCACATGGGGGGGGGGAGTATAGTATACATGAAAAAGGAAAAATCACGGGAAAAGTCAAGTCGAAAGTCGAGAAAAATTTTCTTCCCAATTTCCCAACATAGCAAATTTCTCTCAAAGGCACATACGACCCCCCCCCCCCCTCCAGCGGAAAAGTGCGATCTCCTTTTTATGTGTTTCACACAACGATGCTACCCTGTTCTGCGCACTTTCGAGAAGAGGCACACTTTTACAGCTGCGGACCCTTTCCTGGCAAGGATCTCGAAGGTGCATGTCCACCGTACCTTCAGACACATCTTGCTGTTACCTGGAATAACACTGACTGACGCTCACCAGGTGCAGCTCGGACGGAGCGGGGGCATTTTGCACTTTTGCTGTTCCCCTTGTTCCGATTTACAGGTCTCATTCTGGTTAAACCTGTTAATTCTTGTAAGGCCATCGAATAAATAGTTCAGGAAATGATTTCCATGACGAATTCACAGGAGAGCAAAAGTGCAAAATCTCTCCCCCCCCCCTCCGCCCATCGACGAGCTACGCCGCCCCACTGATCTCAATTAGATCCACTCGACACTATCTTAATTGGGAGGGGGGGAGGGGGGGAGAGGAGCAAAGCAGATAGATATTGGCTTTGCGTTGGGGGAAGCACATCTTGCTTTTCGTCTTGGTAATCGCGGAATGTGCATTTGAGACCTACCCAGAATTAGTAGTTGTGCGGTTTCACAGTTGCTCTGAACAGAGTGAGACAGACGAGAGAATCGTGGTTTGTCGTGTCGTATTTTGTGAAGATGTGAGGCAGACCTTTGATGTAACTTGTTTTTCGTTCGGAGCAGCGGAACTCCTATAAATACGCCACGCCCATCGTGGCGACATATCACGATTTTCTTGTCGCGTGCCCATGGAGGTCACTACAATCAAGAATTTTCTGGTTATAGATGGCAAAAGGAAAGACTACTCGTATTGGCTGCTCGTATACTAACTGTGTTGGAAGTACGAAAGCCATTTTTTCTTGCATCTACAATGAGAGGTTTGCCATTTTGTCATTTGAAACACTATTGTATCCGCTATGTCCGTGTGTATGTGCGCCTGTATGTTTTTAACGAAATTCATAGCGACCTTCCCAGTAGCTGTGGGAAATTGATTCCAAGGAATCATATAGGGGCTGTGACGGGAAACATTATTGGTGGGTGACAGGAAGTGATATCAGCTGATAAGATCTGATAAGAGGCGTCACAAGGGGAGAGTCACCGAGTCCATAGCGCGGGTCACAGCGACAGTGGGACGTTAGTTCAAAGGCATGATATGGGGGCTGTGACGGGAACATTATTGGTGGGTGACAGGGAGTGATACCAGCTGATAAGATCCGATAAGAGGCGTCAGAGTGAGAGGGCCACCGAGTCCATAACGCGGGTCACAGCATCGTCTAGACGTTGATTCCAAGATATGATGCAGGGTATGGGACTAGAACATTATTGGTGCGTGACAAGAACTGCTAGGGGTGAGAGAAACTGATAACTGATGATAGCGGCTGAATAAGGAATCACCGTTGTCGTTCGTCCGATCAGCCTTTACTTTTCATGCAATGCACTCATGCAAAGATTTTGTGAGTGTGAGGGGGGGTGTATCTTGCGTGAAACAGGATGCTTAGGAAA